GATCCAGCAGTCTTGAGAGAGGCTGGTCCAAGACAGCACTGTAGCAAATGAACCTGGGTGACATATGACAGCAGCCTCTGCTGAAACTGCTTTCTGAGCCTGTAAACCATCCCTGTTCACCATCTTCTCTCCCCTGCCAGTGGATGTTGTCCTTCACTGCAACTAGGGCACAGTTGTCTGTGGTGGCAAAACGGATGCATTATTTAGAACTCTCAATTTCAGCTGCAGCTATATGCTGACAAAAGTGCTGAAATCCACTCCTTGCACAGGAAACTTCACTTTTTTGTGTGCTTTCTCAGAGAGTGTCTGTTTGCATTTCATCAGTTCTGCCCATATCATACTGAGATAAATTAATTATGAGAACTATTTGTGTGATTTATACATTATGCAAACATTCTTACTGCACTTACCGATGAAAATGTTGTACTGTGGCAGCATTGTTTTATTTTGCATTGTTATTTTACGTAACTTTAACATTGATATTAGTACCAAAATCCCTGGTTTGCATGTAAACAGGAAAAATTAATATTTTTTTATAAGAACATGCCATCCTACTGACTTTAAAAAAAGTTCTAAGTTATTTATATTCTTGAATTAATATCATTGCAAAGAAAGCCCTTCAGTATAGAAGTTTTTCGTGTAATTAGTTTTTTAAAAGTAAAAATACTACCTTTGGTGGAGGGGGGGAAGGTAGAAAACCAGAATAATTCAGCCAGGAAGAGACCTTTGGAAGACTGCTCTAAGTAGGGTCAGCTATGGGATCAGACAAGGATCTATTCTCTTATATGCAGTGAAAAAGAGGTTTGCCTGATCTGATGTGACCAGGGAGGCCATTGGCAGCTTTTGTAAATCATCTAAATTGGGAAGCAATAAAAAATGAAAACAATAGGCCCTTACAGGGGAACACATCCATGGACAGCTAACTCCATGTAGAAAGCTGAGCTTATGGTAGAACCACAATGTGCAAATGCCAGACTGACAGACAGGACTGGACACCTTGCCCAGCACAAGGGAGTGTCCTGTTCCCCTCCATCAATGGGACGTGGGAGCTTTCAGGGAGGGGGGGAAGTGGTGATGGGGCACGGAATAGGAATTACCAACTCCCTGCTATGCCCATCTCATTTGGAAAATCAAATCTAAAAATTGTGTTTCTGAGGTGTGAGGTTCTGTCCTTATGTGTTATGATCTGACTATTAAGAGATGCCTCTGCCTGAATTATGGTGCAAACGAGACCAAATGCCAAAGTTAATAGTACAGACATTATTTAACAGTAAAATGTGAGGCAGAGAGATAGAAAGACATGGAAAAGAGAGGTGAGGGGGAGAGAAAGAGAGCGAGAGAGAGATGGATTAAGCAGAAGACAGTCACCACCTGTGGATCCAGCGGCATCCCACTGGTTCTTCTCCACTCTGGTCTTCTCAGTGATGGTGGTCCCTGAGTCATTCTTCTGGGGTATCACCTTTACATAGTCCACTTTTCAGGTATCCACAAGGGATAGATGCTATTTCCATAACTGGGGTTGGTATGTGTATAAGCAGTTGATTCCTTTCCCACAGTCTGCCACAATGGGAATTTTTGTCCAGATGCAGTAAGCAGGATGTGCTAACCAGCCTTACCTCCATCAGGCTTGGAATTAGTGCCTTCCTATTGCAAATTCCTCTCTTCTGTGCTTATCTCAAGTTCCTGCTGTGGTGGCTTATATTATGGCAAGTTCCTTCTGTGGCTTTGACAGTATTTGAGATAGGCAACTGTGATTTTTAAGTCTCTTACATTATGGCTGTGACATGCAGTGGAGATTGAGGATAAGGATGCCTGCATGTAGCAGCCCTGTGCTTTTGTCAGTGATACCAAGTACTCCTTCCATGTGCCAGGTGTCATTGCTTGGACAGAATGACCTTTTTGGTGTACTGAGGATATGAGTTTTGTCTCTCTGTGTACTGGGCTCATTGGTCTAAACTAGACCACAGACCTTAGCTCACTACATTCCTTGGTCTGAGAGGGTCCTTGCCCCTTAAAGTTCAGGATATGTCAGTCCAGGTGGCACTGTGCCCATGGCACGTTTGTGTGATACCCATCCCACAGGTGTGCTGAGTGGCTGGTTGGCACAGATTTTTGTTTCCTGTTTATTTGGGGAGGGGATGTATTAAGAACAAATATTTCTACTTCCATGTGTACTGGATGCAGTTGTTTGTTTTCTGGGGCCCCAGAAGTGTGTGGTGTCTTTGTAAAAGATGCCAGTGTTTGCCGTGGAGATGGGATGTCACCATGACATCTCACTGAGCCTGATTAGCCTGTGAGGAAGAACAGGATCAGGCCATTTGTATTGTTCCTGTTTACTCAAGTGCTGTTTGTGTGCGTGCAGTTCCTGCAAAAGCACAGTGCTCCTGCCTCTGTACATCTGTGAGTGCCTGGTAGTGTCTGTGCCTGCCTTTCAGAAATGAAAGCTCAGCCCTAGCAGGCTGTGAGAGGAGAGGTATCATCCAGTCCTGGAGTCCTCCAGCTTCATTAACTCCTTGAAGTGTTGGAAGCATTCCTGAAGTGGCAGGTGTGGGAACCCAGTATGTGGAGGGGACAGGTCCTTTTGCAAATATACCCCAAGTGCAAGAATTTATTAACAAATATTCTAATATTCATTTAAAGGAATAGAGTTAGCATCTCTAGAAAACAGAATACATCATGAAAACATCAAATTGTGTTGGCTATAGAGAAAGCAGAGACACAGGGAAAATAACCTAGAGATGGCCTGTCTACAACTTCTTCCTTGGACATGTCTCAAAATGTAAAGACAAAACAAATCTAAATATAAAAAAAAAAAATCATATAAACAGTTCAGGCAGACTATGGTAACAGATTACTGTAATTTTGTATAAATGTAGGCATAGTTTCATCAATGACAGTTAAATCTTTGGAAAAAATACTCCAAAAAGGTACTAATTCAATGGTCTTAATAGGTTTCTTTTGGTTTGTTTTACAGAATAATTCTCTGAAGAACAACAATTTGAAGAGGTTGAACCAACAGATAACAATACAGACTGATGACTACTTGAAAGTTCCTTAGGTATAATGGCTATGAATTGGAAAGAAAAACAGAGGAAAAAAAATAGCTTAACACCTGAATCTCAGCAGACACTCCTGCTGATACAAATGTTCCAGGTTGGATAACTAAGATAATTACTGCTAATTACAATGTGTGTTTTTTTCTCTTCCATAGATAGCACAAAAGAACAAGTCCTTCCAATTCCATGGATTTTGTTAAATTTCTTACCTTTTGTTTTTGCTACTTTTATTTATTTCACTTTATTATTGTATCTGGGCAGGTACAGTTTTATCTCTGTCAAATTTGTGAGTGTCAAATTATCTCTGTCAAAATAAGTGTTTTTCAGGACTTTTCAGGACTCAGAATCAGATATTTTACATCCCGATATACACTTACAAGTAAAATGCTTTGAGTTAACTGTCTTAGTGTCTTTATATTCTCCTGAATCATCTTCTGACTTTTAATGAAATATTAAAATATTTAATTAAATGATTGTAGGCAAAAAACTGTCTACAGAATGTAAGCAGTAACTCTATTACACTGAGCCCCAAGTCTGTAGGAAGATCGAAGAGTGGTGCTATGAAGAGTAAACAGTCTCATTTGTCTCTGTGAGAATCCAGCTCTTACATAGTTGTCACTGGGAATTTGAGTAAACAATCCAAACTTCATCATGGAATAAAGAGGTAGAAAACTAAAAACCTGCACTAATTATCGTGAAGCGACTACTTCATACCCACTCCCAAAACACAATTAAATAGGACAGCAGAGAATTAAAAAAAAAAGTTTCAAAGTGATTAGTAGAAATGAAATCATTCTTATTATGTGCAGAGTCTATTCAAAGCATAATGTTTTTGTCAGATGGTAGGGTTGTACCTTCTATGTGCGGTTCAGAAAAACAGCAGCCTCTGCTCTGCCACACTGATTGTTCTGTCTCTAGACTTGACTCCCACAACCTTGACAGCCTCTCTACTCACCATCACTCTCATTTTTTTAAAATAAATCTCACTTAGATTATGTCTGTAGGGCAGGGACAAAGGCAGCTGCCTATAGATGCCAAACCTGTTCTGTAATATCTAGCTCACATGCTAGTGGGATTTTGGCCTTGAGAGCACAGATTCATGTAACCTGCAGCTTGGCTGGGTTTTGCAGCCTGTGCTGCACTTCTTGTTGCCACAGCCACATTGGGTCTGATATTTCAAATATATATTTGCAGCATATTTAAGTCAGTTTTACTACAATGACTGCTATGACCTCAGAATTAGTGTATGCTCGTTTACAGCCCAAATGTTCAGGCACCACTGCATTTACTTTGTCTGATAGGCAGACATGTTTTTCTCTCTCATACCAAATAAATTATATGTTTTCTCTTGAAACTAGTTTTTCCTATTTCTCATCCCGGTTTCTATATCATCTACTCCCTACCGTGAAACATTGACAGACCCTTACTCTAAAGGGTCATTGTTTCTATTATCACTTCCCACTACTTAAAATGATAGAGGTTATATTTAGAATCCTAACTAGAATATCTTCATCCTTACAAAAATTTGGTGTCTTTCACCCACCTTTTTTCCCATCTTACTCCTGGGCCAATACTACTGAAATGAGTGAAAATCAGAGGCCTGGGGAAATGAGTTGAAGAGAAAAGTGTGCTAAATATGTTTGCAAGTAACTCAGCAAGACTTCACTCAAGAGAGTAGAAGCACAGAAAGGTTGCCTTGACCTCTCTAAACACCTAAGAGAACTGTTACTTAAGGAAATGGAGAAGTTAGTGTATTTAATTAGATTTGTTGTATTCAAGTGCTCCTGTACTAGCTGTTGTATGAACCCTCAGAATGGGGTGAGATTGAAAAGCAAAGAAGCATAATCTTTCCTGACAAGTCTATAATATTACAGAAACTATAATTTCTTGAGTGTTGCTGAAAATTTTTGCTTCTAAAATTAATGCTTGGGGTTTTTATTCTAGGGTGTGTTCACTGTGACATTCAAAGGGAAGCAAAGTGCAAAGGGGCAAGAAAGCAGGTGTGCTGTAACACTATGATTCATTTTCTTAGAAGATTAAAATTCATGCAAGAGAAAATCAGTGGTGAAGTTATAGTACAGAATCATCATTTGCATCATGACAAGAATATGGCAAGGTTTGTAGAGTACTCAAAGTACATCTAAATAGGTATATAAAGAAGGTACTCAGTGGAGTAAAGTTGGGTAAATATTATTCTTCTAAACGTCTCTCAGGTATCGAAATTTCTCCAAATATCTTTAAGGGAAAAAGTAGTCTCTATGAAGCTTATTCAGGAGATGTTTTTCTCAAAAGTTTTTTTCCCCAAGAAGTTGAGTATATCTCACAAATACTGCTGATTTCTCAAGCTTAATACAGAACACAAGGATAATAAGTCCAAAGATAAATGCAAGCAATGAGGTCTTAAAACATAGCTACTTCTGTAGCTGTATATCCTTTAGCAAACTGGATTTGTTGAATTTATCCTTTAGGAAATACAATAATTCATTCACAGAATCTCAGAATTGTTGGAGTTGGAAGGAATCTCTGGAGACCATCTCATCCAGTCCTCCTGCTAAAGCAGGCTCACCTGTGGCAGATTGCACAGAATCACATCCAGACAGGATTGGAATATCTCCTGAGAATGAGACTCCACAGCCTCTCTGGGTGATCTGTTCCAGTGCTGTCACCCTCATTGTAAACAGGTTCTTCCTCAGATTCAGGTGGAACTTCCTGTGCATCAATTTGTGCCTCTTGTCCTATTGCTGGGCTCCACTGATGAATCTGGCCCCATCCTCTTGACACCCACCTTGAGATATCTGTGGGCATTGCTGAGCTCCTGTCTGAGTTGCTTCTTCTTGACACTGAACAGGCCCAAGTCTCTCAGCCTTTCCTCGTAAGAGAGATACTCCAGTCCCATTAATCATCTTTGTGGTCCTCAGCTGGACCTTCTGCAATAGTACCTTGTCTTTCCTGTACTAAGGAGCCCAGCTGGACACAGCACTCCAGATGTGGCCTCACAAGGACTGAGTAGAGGTGCAGGATCACCTCTGTTGACCTGTTCAAAGCTTGTGTTAAGCTTTAACATTGTGTGTGTTCACAGTGAGTCCAAGTTGTTGCATCTCTGCTGTCCTCTTTCTCCCAAGTCACTTATTCATGATTGTGACCACAGAAACACATTTTATGGGGAAATGGGAGAGAGCAGAGGTGGTGTTAAAGTCAATTCCCTATTAGGTAATGATAGTTTAAAAGTAAAATGTAGGCATAAAATTAACTATATAAAGATCCAGTGAAACCACCATAAATAAATAAATAAATAAATCACTTCCTAAATAAAACAGAATCATTTGTGTTAACATATAATAACTTAAAACCATAATAAAGAAGACTGAAACCCACTTAAAAACCCCTGTAATATTTAAGCTGCAAAGGCCCAGGACATCAGCAGTGGATGGCTGCTCTGCAGGTGTAAGAAATGGAGTAAATGACCAAATTATCCAAAGTAGGGGGCAATACAGTACAGGAGATAAAAGCAGCCAAATCACCATAATAGCTCCTGCCTATATTTGCTAAGCCAACAGCACATTTATCTTGGAAAACGTGAAAAAAGCACTGGGTAAGAGATGTTTTACTGTATCTGTAGGAGCTACCGTATGTCCTACCCATGCCTGTCCTTCACTTGTATGAGTTACAGGCTTAATATTTTACATTGTACAAGTATCACGTCTCGGACTTAAGAGTTCAGCAACTAAACACTGTAAATTAAATGGGGAGAAGATGGATAAAACAAATGTAGGAGACCTCTCAAACTTCATTTTCACGTCTGTGGTTTCCTCACTTCTGCTTCTAGGATGCTGTGTGTGTTGTATTTCATCTTTCAAATGTTGTCTTGTACAATTGGTATAATATGAGAAGTGTACTTGCACCAAATCTTTTTTTTCTGAAATAATGGAAATGTAAACAAAGATAGAACAGAGACAGCCAGAAAAAATAAATAGCTAATTAAAGGCTCCAGGGTTTTAAAATATAACGTGTTTGAATTACAGTGTAGATTTTTACTTTTAGCTAAGATCTGACTTGGAAATCTATCTATTAAAATACTATCAGGAGATTAGTCTGTCAGAGTCAGAGAAGAATAAAAGTTATGAGCACACAAAATTACAGCCTTGCAATTTATAAGTAATTTAGTGCTGTTATATCTCACTTTTTCAGAAAAGTTTAAAAAATGTTTCATTGTCCCAAAGATGATTATACAGATATGGTTTTCTTTAATGGAGACCTTGGGGTCTCGAAAATGTGTTCTCTTCTTCTCAGCATGAGCAATATAATTTCTTATTTAAAAATATAAGATCATAAAAGTGTTCTGTCTAATATTCAGAGAATACTCCATTTATGCACGCGTGTCTATATATCTGTGCACAGGTGCTGACCTTTCATTTCCATATATTATGTTCATCACAGGTGATTTCCAATACATGGAATTATCTGTAAAATTATGAATAGCCTGACATTTATGGATGAGTAAATCTGAAAATCCTTTTTGATACATACCCTGTGGCTAACACCAATTATGCAGGTAAGTAATCCAACTAAGGTTTTACTGAGCAATAGAAAGGAAACATGAAAAAGCACAGTTCTGTTATGCATTACTCACTTTTTGTTGACCAATCCCATGACTAACTAAGCCAACATAACTATCAAATTGTTAACAGTAAAACCTGACTTTTCTCACTTCATATAAACATACTGCAAGTTCTTTTAATGTTAGATCAGGATCCTTGGAAAATCCCACACCTGGTTTTGGGGAAATAGGATTTCTCTTCTCACCGAGATAATGAGACTTGATACCGCAACCAAGCAAAAATTAAGGAAAGCAAATACTAAGAAAATACCTAAGCAGATATTAAGAACCTTTGTTAATGAGTTTAGCATTTATATTGGAGTTCTGTATTGTTGCAACCTGTTTCTACTACCATAGGTCTTTGCGCTTAGTAAGTTGGAAATGCCCTGAATATACGAGCAGTAATCTGCTTACTAACTGTACTATTTTTGAACAATATAAAGAAAACTGTGCATTATTTTATACTTGTTTTAAGTTTTTAAATTTATTTATTTACTTGTTTGTTTTGCACATTTTCTCAGCCAATAAGTCTCTAGGCAGTGCTAACTAAAGATTATAAAACATCAGTGAGAGGCTTTTGGAAAAAGTTTTATTGAATTGAAAGAAATCAAGCATACTTAAATCTTTTCTTGAAAATTTCCTTAAAATGCTCCAGCTGCTGAAAGCTTCCAATTTCCATTTTGTCGTTGTTGTTAAAACTTATTATTTCAGGTATTGCTGGTGATTACTTTGTAGAATTTCAGTAGAACAACAAGTGTGAAATTTCCAAATTCTATTTTATTTTAAGGCTGTCTACACGTATGCCAATCTGTACAGGTTCTATTATACACCCACCTCTACCTCTTAATCCAAACAAATATTTTCTTCTGTGATGAACAAAAGCACCAATAGGAAACATAACATTTTGATAAAAAGTGAGTTTGATATCCAGGGAGAGGCAAAGTGTGGGAACACAGAGTATAGTATATAAGCAGTGAGTACATACACGTTTCTTAGAACAGCTTTCTCTTTAGGAATAAAAGGTCTAAGGAAATTTTTGTTGGAATTTTCTGTTACTTCACTCAGTTGAAATTACCACATGCATTACGTAGAGAGACTGTGGAGTCTCCCTCACTGGAGATATTCCAGAACCATCTGGACACAATCCTGTGCCATGTACTCTGGCTTGAGCAGGGAGGTTGGACCAGATGACCCACTCTGGTGCCTTCCAACCTCACCCATTCTGGGATTCTGCGTGAAATGAGCATTTTGCCTGAAGCTCCCCAGGATGTTACTAACCAGGCTACCTTTTTCCAACTATTGGGCTGTTGTAAAAGAAGCATCCATTGATACGTTATGTCACGCACGATGGAATTTTTTTGTTTATTATATTCCTCTTAAAAAATAATGCTGATTCAATCATGGAGAATCCTATAAATGGAAGAGTTGCTCTCACCTAGGTGGAACTGAACTCATCAGGGGAAAAATAACTTCCAGATTGCACAGCAGGAAGGTGGATGACAAGAAGAAGGGATGGGATAGTACAGAGAGGAGTGAGAGTTTTGATAGGCACAGCAGGCAAGCAACCACTAAAACAATCTAGGGATGAGAAGGGCTGTTTAGAGTCTGCTGAAACTCCTAAAACCACTGAGCTAGCAGGAAACAAGCCTGAAAGGAAGTAACTGTCTTGCAGGCAAATAACTTCTATTAATATTTATGCACATTTTGGCAGTTTCTTATTGCCAGTAACAACACATCTGTGATCTTTATCAGCATTACTGGTCAGAAAATCAGGACTCAGATCACCACACAAAGCATCAAATTTAGAGCCAGGGTTTTTTTTTTTTTTGTGTGTGGCCTTGGGAATTTCTGAAGAATCCCTGATAGACTTTGGAGATGGGACAAAGACTATTGTCATGTCTTGCTAAAGACCTCAGTTTTGATGATGATGTGTTCTGCAGTCCTTTCTGCTGTTCTCTTTAAAGATGTCTTTAGATTGTTAATACATTATATGTGTGAAGACTAATAAAACGATTTATAACAGAGGAACTTCTTACAGTTAGAGGAAAAGGTCTATGTTTTTCAGAAATCTGAGCTTTCACCGGGGCATTATCTTAGCTGATAACATTCTAGTACAGTTTATATTGAGTGAAAAACATGAGGGGAAAAACAGTAAAGTAACTGTTCCTCTGTCTCTATCTGCAGCTAGAAAAGAGAGAATAAGGGAAGGAGACAATAGAAAGTTAAGAGGCCATTTTTGTATAATCTGTTGGTTTACATAAAATATTTTATTACCAATGGGAAAAAAAAAAAACCCAAAACACAAGAGTTCTGGCCCATGGGCTTAGATAGCTGGCCTAGTGTAAAGGCTTTATTTTTCTAAATTTAGGAAGTTTTCATTATTTATTCATACAGAAGTAAACTGTGGAGATCATGCCTACTGGGTACAGGCAAAACCTTTTGTACTGTTCTGTCATTCATTATGTATAGTCCATATTTTTAGATATTAACAAGTTTACGGAACTTTAAACTTTTGGGGTTTTAGATGTTTTTAGACATAATCTCAAGATATTTTCTTCTCTCACATCATATGTACAGGAACCTCATATGCTTCAATGGTGTTAAATGTTGTCCCTTTTCCCCATCCTGACTTTTACTATATTGAACTCAATTGGGTGCCATTGGGTTTTTTTTCCTTTTTCACTAGAGGGGATGTCCATTAGTTTTCAACTGTTTTCACTTGAAGAAATACTTGAACCTACTTAAACTACCTATTGATAATCTAAATAGCTGGGGTTTTTTTAAGGTCCTTACTGGAAAGTATTATCTACAGTCTATTAAAAACAGTATATGTCTCTTTCCAACACCATCTAATTCAATACCCAAAAGATTTTCTGAAATTGTTATATTCCCAGAACAACTTTTATTTTGGTGTAAATCCTTACACACTTCATCTTTCTTTTGGCTTTATTTGAACAAAAGTAGTGAATGTGTTCACAGGCCTGTGTTCTGCTATCCAGCCTCTGTTCACAAAGAATCCTTGCTCTGGGCCTGCCACCCAGGTGTGTCTTTTATCTGTTAGACCCTACGAGTGCTGTGTCCAGTCCTGACCCCTGACTTTAGGAAAGACATTGAGGTGCAAGAACGAGTTCAGAGAAGGGCAATGAAGCTGGGGAAGGGTCTTGAGAGAAAGTTCTATGGGAAGGGGCTGAGGGAGCTGAGAGGTGTTTAGCCTGGAGAAAAGGAGGCACAGGGGGGACCTTATTGCTCTCTAGAAACCCCTGGAAGACAGTTGTAGCCAGGTGGGGTTTCAACCTGTTCTCTCAGGTAGCGAGTGACAGGACAAGAGGACAAGGCCTGAAGCTGTGCCAGGGGATGTCAGGTTGGGTTGGACGTCAGGAAGAATTTCTTCACAGAAAGGTTTGTCAGGCATTGGAATGGCATTGCCCAGGGAAGTGGTGGAGTCACCACTCTTGGAAGTGCTCAAGAAATGACTGGATGTGGCACTCAGTGCTCTGGTCTAGTTGACCAGATGGTGTTTGATCAGTGGTTGAACTCGATGATCTCAGAGGTCTTTTCCAACCTAAATGGTTCTGTGATTCTGTTACTCCCCACCTGGGCTGAGCCCCATCCTGCCATGCTCCCTGGCAAGATGGCACTTCTGTCCCATGTTCCTGAATATAAATTCTCTTCTCTAGATCAAAAACTGAGGAAGTTTATTTTGAATATTCAAAAGCAGAACACACAGATTCTGGTGCTTTGAAAGGCGAACCATGCAGGGCAGCAACCAATATGGATTTGTTTGAGTTATCAGCTGCCTGAGGCTTTAATGATGTTTTTTATCTTCTGCTTGATTGCTTTCATTTTTAAATCATTCATCAAAACTTTTATTTTTGTAAAGGAAAGCAAAAAACTATGTACTCTAGTTACATGACGGATATTATAACTTAAAAAAAGATAGATCAACACTACAATTTAACCGACATTTAGCTGGCATTTATACTTTGCTATTTTAGAGCTTTGTGTTGGGGTTACACCCTGTATATGCTAGATATATTAGATATATATGATGTGTAGTGCAGTATTGAGAGAAATGAAAAGCATTCTTACTTCCTGTATCACATTGAATAACAAAGAGGCAGAAAGTTACAAAACATATGCCCATATGTAGCTAAATTAGGTAACTAAACACAAAGTAGAGAACTCTGTCATAAGTTTTTGGCTGCTTGCATGCAGAGTGGCATGTCCCCAGGCTAATGAAGAGAAAACTATGTGTGGGAAAAAATAAACTTTGATTTTATTCTCAGTACCTTTGCTTTGTTAGTATTTTATTCTTTTGTATTTTTTTTCCTTTTTATACATTTTAGCACCAGAAAAGAAAAAAAAGTGGAGGAGGAGGAAAAAAACAAGCAAAAAACCCCCATATGGTTTATAGCTGTCACTGATATTAATGTCTTTCTGTAAGAAAGGCATATTTGAGCTACAGTTAACATAAGTGGTTCACTGCCTTTGTAATGGATATTGTTTATTAAATTGTTCTCTAAGAGAAGATATGAGCAAAGACTATTACAAAAGAAGTGCTGAGTTATCAAGCCTTGTCCAGATTATAGAGTGGCAGTACTGGAATTACAGAAGTGTCTCAAATTCAAACAATATCTCTTGCTCTTGCTTTTTTCTCCCCGCTACATTAAAAGTTCAAGGTGGGGAGGGAGTTCTTGTGACACTTCTTTCATCTTTGAGTTAAGAATAGCAGTTCTGCCCCTGTAGTTCCCTGTGCCCATTGCCTGCAGTACGAGCAAGTAATTTGTGTCTTCAAGGAAGTCAAAGAGCAACTGGAGATGATCTGTCTTAACTCCCACTAAGTTCAGCACACATCATATCACCTCTCAACTGAGAATTAGTGACAATGAATTGCTTTTTACCCCCCATCCTTTCAGTCTTTCCTTCAGACTTTGTGCAATCAATAAATGCATTCAACAACTGTAGTGGCCAGGTTTATGGCTTGTAGGAATTGCATATTTCTCTTACCTGGATTGCAGACACAGAAGTAACTTAAATGTGTAGCACACATCTTGCTTCATATGGAGAAGAGGTAATGAATTATAGTTACTAGAGAACATGAAACATTTGTGTCCTGTCCACAGGCACAGAGCTTGCTTATGGTAGGATTATACCAATCTCCTTAGAGAAAGCATGAGAATACTTGGATTTATTTATAAATTCCTCAAGCAGACACTATTTTAACATTCTTCTCCAGGAAACAAGTATTTTTTGGGAGCAGATCCTTGATTGATGAGAATCTTTGTGGTACTTTGATTTTTGATGATGGCAGTTCATGCCTGCTTCTTCAGCCTAAACCTATTTTCTTTTTACTTGCTCTCTGGTTTTTGTATATTTTTCTAAACTTAAGTGACATTCTCTATTATTTTCATTTGGGGAAACAATTGCCAGTTCTGAATGCAAAAACACCACAAACAACCATTCTTAAAAGAGATAAGAAAAATGTTAAATAATTATGTTAAAAAAAAAATTCAAAACCCCAAACCAAAACAAGCAAAAGCCCCAAAGTAATAGAAGATTGTTTTACTCACATTTCAGGGTTTTTTTTTCTGTCACAGAAGCTGATGAAGACTGTTGAAAAGGAAAATTACATGGAAAAGCATACTCAGAAATTTCTGTTCCCAGCAGTGATGCTGTAAGTTTTCCTACAGTTTTGCATTTCATCTATTTCAGAGGTTGCTATAGTAATGAACTGCTATAGTAAAAAGCTGGGGTTTCATTTAATTTGGACTGATATAGAGCTATGATCGGCCTTGATTGAATTCACATAACCACAGGCTTGTGGCTGTGGTAATTAATGCATTATTGTTGGTAAATATTATAGCACAGCATTAGTTTATGGCTAAAAATGTTTTTATATTTAGTTGGAGTAATGCTTTATGTTTTGAATCATATTGTAAATGATGTCTTGGTTGTATATTTAGAAAGGAGGAAGTGATGTTTTCAGCCTTTCAATATATATCACACATTTCTGGATTGCAGCTTGGTGTTAATAAGAAACGTATTTGAAGATGATGCAGCACTATAGATATGGAAGAAAACAAGTTTTATGTGAATGGAGCCCATTAAAATGTCACTTGAAAGACACTTCAGTGGGACAAGGTAGAAGATACTTTATGTTTTACACTTTATTATACATATATTTTTAAATATGCTACTGATTTCTTTCTGTTTCAGTGGCAGACAGTATAAATCATTGAATAATCCCAATGCATCTTTATCCTCTCCTATCACACCAAAATAGATCCTGTAGATGCTTTCTTGTTATAGGGAATCTTTTCTAATTTTTTCCCACAGACTATCATAAATACTGTATATATAACAGTTTTATACTTAATTACAAATCAGCCTGATTGTGGAAACATGCTTTAATCTCTTCCTTTAATTTAAGTTAAATGAAACTGTACACAGCAGCAGCCAGACAGCTTCATTTGCCTAATGCACAGAGTAAACAACCACAGAGTTACATCAGAATTCAGGTCTTGTGGCCTCACTCTTCAGAAGCTGTTTTACTAGGAAGAAATAATAATAATAATAATAATAATAATAATAATAATAATAATAATAATAATAATAATAATATTTTGCCTTTTGTGGTAAAAATCATACAGAAGTATTATTTAAATACCATTTTCATCTTGGGAAGAAATCCTGTTGATTAGACTGATGTGTTAAACATAATGTCAGTTGTGACAAAAGTCAAGAACTCTGAGCTGAATCATCATCATCATCATCATCAGGTTTTTACCACTGTGTTTTTTAGAGTACACGTCTTTAATCTCTGAGAAAGAGAAAATGTCATACTTTTTCTTATCTGTCAAAATAATTAGGCATCTTCATTAATGCTGCATCTAAGGGCAGGTTGCTGAAGAGGAGAGGAAGGTAGATTTGGTATTTTCTACATGTAACTCAAATATCAGAATGTTTTACTTGGAATACTCAATTATCCTTTTATCAGAATTCATGTCAAAACTGTAGCATTAGTATTCTAAATCTGGATCTTCTGTTTGATCACTGCAATTGTTTTCTCAGCTTGACTAGTTCTAAAGATTTGAGATTAGTGATTAAAAAATCAGCCCAATAATTAAAACTATTTTGCAAATATTGTGTAATGAAATACTGCAGCTAAAATTATATGTGCTGTAATTGTGTATTATGTTTTAATTGGCATATTTTACAGTAAGGTATAATTCTTGTGCAACGTTTGATCTGAAGAATGGATGTTCCCAGGCCACTTGTTTGCAAGTCAATAAAATTCATTTCCATTCAAACATAGATAATAGCTGAGCTCTTGATAAATGTCATGAGCATTCCAACACGCTTTACACATACACACTGTGGTGGTACACCCCCCCACACCCCCTTGGGCCATACTGTGATCTTAGAAATGCTCATTAGGCCTCAGCCTTGATGAACAGCACGTGGGCTCAGCTCCTCCTGAGCTTACCAGAAGCACTGTCTGCTCCCAGGAACTAGTGCTGTATAATGAGCTCCTGAGTTTTTTTTATTAAACAGCCTTGGAAACTTATTTTTTGAATAACAGCCCAAGTGGAACAACATTGTTGTTATTGAATTTTCAAAGAAATTTACTGACCTAAATTGCAGCCAGGATGGAAAATTACTATGACTAAAGCCAACTCTTTTGTGACCCTATAGGCTGTGGTCCTAAATGAGACCCTTTGAGCTATCCTGGACTGCAGAGGGCTGTGACCAGCAACCTCCCTCTGAGTGGGACACCTCTCAGGGCTGGGGAACTCTCAAGGTTGTTGCACTTGCAGAACTCCAATGACAGAGCCCTGGCTGATACTCCCACTCCTCAAGGCTCAACCCTTTGCCCATTGGGAAGATGCAAAGACATCCAGTGTGAGTACTTCAGTGAACTGGGGGGGGATTTTTCACAGGGGTCTGCTTTGTACAGACTCTTTAGGTCTGTGTGTGTGCGAGTGTGAATATACCACAGCAGAGGTACTGTGAATGTTGCTCTCTGTGATTCTTGAGTACATTAGATTAATATGTGATTTAGGCCTATAAGTGAGTTACTGTTGTGCTTATAGTAAATTCTATAGAATCTGTTGTTAAATTTCTTATCTTCAGTTATCAATTCAGTGCTGTTAAACTTAAGTGCTGTTTAAACCTTTAGGCCTAAACCATTGGCCAAGTCCCAGGCTAAGTTTGGCAAGGGGCTCCACCCTGAACCTTGTGACTCAGTGGGATGGTCTCCCTTGTTCCTTTTCTTGCTTTACCCTTTCCCATCCTTATACTTCTTCTATCTGCAGCCTCCACTTAGATCATTTTAGATAAATTTTAGATTTCTTGATTGTAGAATTTAGTCCTATTTTTTTCTATGTGCTTTAACCATCTAGTAAGTAGAAGAGTGAACCTTGAAAAGGATCTTTGCTCTACTTTCACTTTTATATTAAACCTGCTTTTGCCAGGCAACACAATTCTTTGGATACCCAAACCCAGTGAACTTCACTGCTTATAAGTATTTAATCTAAATATAAAATTTTAACCATATTTCCTGAAACATGTCTCAGCTTTTAGTCCCTTCAGTTTTTGGCATTCTGGATGTAAAGACAGTGTGTTCTGGCCTATTATTTGGAATTTTGTAGCAATCAGAGACCTGTCTGGTTTAATTAGAAACCAAGAAATAACTCAAGATTTCTAGTGACTTTCATAAAATCACAGAATCATAGAATGCACTGGGTTGAAGATCATCCAGTTCTAATCCCTCTGCCATGGGCAGGGACACTTTCCACTCGACCAGGTTACTCAGAGCCCCATGCAACCTGCCCTTGAACGCTTCCAAGGGTGGGTCACCCAGAACTTTCCTGGGAAACCTGCTCCAGTGTCTGACCCACCCTCACAGTAAAGAACTTCTTCCTAATATCAGATTCAAACCTACTCTCAGTTTAAAGCCATGCCACCTTGTCCTGTCCTTGTAAAAAGTACTTCTCAGCTCTCTTGTAGATCCTGTAGATACTGGAAGGCTACTAGAAAGTCTCCCTGGAGCCTTCTCTTGTCCAGGCTGAATGCCCTCAACCCTCTCAGCCTTTCTTCATACAAGAGTTGCTCTAACCCTCTGATAATTCTTCTATCCCATCTCTGGACTCGCTCCAACAACTCCACATCCTTCTTATATGGGGGGTCCCAGAGCTGGATGAGGCATTGCAGGTGGGGTTTCACCAGAGCGGAGTAGAATCCCCTCCCTGGACCTGCTAACTGTTCTTCTTTTCATGCAGCCCAGGATATGATTCTCCACCTCTACTCCAATAGTTTACTTTGTGTCAAAGATTGATCATTTTTCTGTATAACACAAAGTGTAAACAGCTCACTAAACAGTCCACTGCATTTCTCTTTCCTGCCAAAGGATGCTGACTAAACAAAATGTACATGAACTCTAAGGCAGATTCACGTTTGTTTTTTCCCCCCGAACAACCAGGGGTGGTAATTAATAGCTTTATTGTGAAGTGTGTCATCTTGTACAAGCTCTACCATCAATCCGAAGACTGTTACCAAATAAATTTTCCTTTAACAGACCAAATGCAATGGAATCTGTAAGTGGAAAGTGGGGAGAGACAGAAAACTGGATGATAAAATATAACTGTAAGAAAACTGATTGCAAACATTATCTTTTACAACCCATTATGAAAAAAGTGTCCCCAAAACCATGCAGTTCACAGTGACTTACTGCATCCACTTAGTGTATTGGAAGTACGTATTCAAAAGAGATTGATTCATACATGGTAATCACAACTCACTTGTAAAAATGACTAGGTAAAATAAATTAATCAAACACATATTAGCATGAAAATCATTCACCAATAGTAATTTAAATATTTAGTAGAGCCTATATTAATTAGTTTCAGTGAAGGGGAAGATAAAAATCCTAATAATTTTTCCAGGACCTTAAATGAACATGCCTTCCAAAAAAGTGATGCAGTAGATGTGATTCGAGATTGATGAGAAGCAAACCATGTTGAGCTTGTAGCTGCACAGTGTGATAATTTGTACACTTTTACATGTAATAACTATATCTGACTCAACGAGGAGACATGAGAGAGTGCTCATTTTCATGCTGCAGTATTGCTAAACAAATCTTTACCAGGATTAGGATTTTTTTCCCCCTCTTTTTATGTACCTGTATAGACCTTTATAAACCAAGTGGTATTGATTCCCCCATCAGCCCGGATATTTTTCTTATTCTTCAGAAGATACATTCTATCCCCCTTTACCTACTGTACAAGATTAATATTCTTCCATTTCTGTATTTGCTCATGTGGTATTCATGGGAAAATAAGGCTACTAGGCCTGATATGTAGTTCTTTTCCTGGAGCTGGATGGGTCACCCTAATAAAGTACTGTTACTAACTAGCTGCAGTCCCTTTCTAAGTGTCATGTTAAAAGGGGCAGAAAAGAGGAATTTACTGTCCAAGCTGTATTAATTTATTTTTTGGTCTATCAGTGCCCCCCCTCCCAGGAAATCAAAGCCTTTTAATGTCCAAAACAGCCTGTGAGCATCTCACCGAATGAGACCCTTTGTTTAACAGGTTCACTGAAACGGACAGGACATTTGATACCTTTTTATATAAGGGCTGCACTTAATAGCAGTAGGAAAACCCCTCAGCAGGTTTCTCCTATGAGTTATTTTTGCCGTCGATGAAACTGTCAGCACCTAAAAACAGAGTCACTCACGAAATAACACATTTTTTTAATACAAATTTGTGACAATTTATGGGGTTCGTTGTGTCTGGAATAGGGTCTAACTGCAAAAACACAAACTATGTAACAGTAATAATAAAGCCAAGCATAGGCACACACACGCTAGAGCAAAAGCAACTTACCATGAGGTAATAAGTAAAAATTTTAAAGTGCTATGGAGCAAAAGTAAAGTTAGTGTATGTATATAGAGTGACCGCTCGCCCAAGGCATTCCGAGGAGGTGGAGGGAGAAAAAGGTAGTCTATTGGTTACCTCCATAGAGTGGATGGAACTTCTCCCCTGTTTTTCCTCCTGTCCAATCTCTTTTTATACCTTTTTCTTAAGCAGTTTGAGTGGCTGTAGTCAATAAACTAATTTTGGGGTGATAGACAGATGAAATAGGCCCAAGGGTCCACTTCCAGAGTTCCCAGCAGCCAGGATGTTCGGGGGAAAAAGGCCCTGTTGTCTCCCTATCACTCCTTTCTTTGTTTTAATCCTTCTATCAGTTTCTGGGAATGTCTCCCCGGGTGCTGGGGTTTTCCAGGAAACCATCAGGAGGATTTTTTCTCCTTTTGTGTAGCCTTTCTATCACCTTACACTAAGGAAAGTGTTGAACCACAGGGATACTTTCAGTAGGTATGAGGTTGTTCTCTTGATCTGTTTATATTCAGCCACAATTTGCATGATCAGGTGTTTTATATGTATGAAATAATTCAATCAGTCCATAGTTGTTATCACAGTTGTGGACTTTTTGATCATTGTGTTTATACTACACTATTGAATTTTTAAAGGTGAATTACACTTTTTAACAAGTAAAAGATTGTAAGCTGCATATTTTGGTGGCTGTAACTATTAAAAAGTCAGTTGCATGCCCATGTTGTCCATAAACTTTGCTGTTATAATATTTTCTTTATGTGGAAATATTATTGAGCAGTTTTTGTTCTTTTTAATTAACTTCCACTTTCCCATTAAACCAGAGTTCCAACAAAATGCAAACCAAAGAGATTTTTGTAAGTGTATGTGGGATTTTACTTAAAAATGTACTAACAGCAATGTCCTAAACATTTTTTTACAGGGACACAAGATTCTACAACATGAAGATTCTAATGAGGTAACTGATTAAAATTTTGAAGTCTCACATGATACTTTTTTTTTCTCAGTTGCTAAATGTGAGTTTTTTACTATGAAAAACTGGAGAAATCAAGACCACTCAGCAAATTTGGTTCCCAAGTTGTGAGGGATGTATAGGAAGGAGACACATATTGCTCCAACTTTCAGTTTTGCCACTGCACACAGAGGAAGTAAATCCAGTCCTATGGTGTGTTTTCTGTGCTGTGAAAAATACAAAAATTCTAAATTTAAGAGAAACATATTCAACATCTGAATAAATAGGCTCCTCTGATGCTACTGGTCCTGTTACAAAATCCATTATGAAAAACATCTTTCTGGAAAACAGAATATGAAACACAAAAATATGAACACAAATTATGTTCTTATAATACTCTTGTCTCTCCCAGCTGAAAGTAGAAATATCTAAATAATAAGCATTCTGTGTTCTTCCCTGGAAGGGAGACAAGAAAATAAAGATATGGACTACTGAACATCTCCCTCTTTTGTCCATAAAGATTTCCTTAAAGGCTCCTCTCCATTGTGCTTAGCAGGGAGCCAATGTCAGAATTTCCCTTTGGCTACCCAAATGTGACCAGAGCTATTCATTTCTGTAATATTTTGGCTATCATATGATTTTTTTTTCATTTTATTATAATATAATCTCTCACTCTGTAGCCTGTGTGATTATGTGCCACTACTAATATGCCAAAAGACAATGTAAAACAGTAATGAAAAAAGCAAATGTAAATACTTTCGTAGTATACATATTGGATGTTTTTTCCTGAAATATCTTTTTCATTTTGAAGAAATCTTATTGTGTGGGATATATTTGTTCTGCAAATCCACTAAAAAGTGGTTTTTTTCTGAACAAGTCATTTCAATCATAATCTGTTTTGATTAATATTTTGCAGCAATATTTTTCAACAAATATAGTGATAGAATGTTAAAGTTACAGTCAAGTACAGAAGGTTTAGAGAAATCCAATTGCCACAGTCTGTAAGTGTATCATAATTCAGTAAAGTACCCACAAATTATTTTCTGTATAGTTCTGTCCTCATTCACTTGATGCAATGGCCTTTCCCTTCATTGCCTCCAAATGCCACAGATCAACCAGGCAATTTTCCAGTGTGGCATCTGGTGTCCTGATTTTGGCAGAGGCTGCTTTTCAGAATCTCTCTTCTACATCCAAATAGGAGTTCATGGAGGTGAAGTGTAAAAACATGGCTTACGACAGTTTTTTTTTCCACTTTGTTCCAGTCCATATGAGGCCATGCTTGGGGGAGTAAGTCAGTCTCATCTCTTCATATTACTCTGAGGTCAACTGATCAGACTTAAATAGGAGCATGTAGGCATTGGAAAGGTCTGAAGTCATGTCTTCCCATGATCCCTCCTGAACTGTGGACAGTATGGTAATTTAGGTGTTTTCTAAGAAATAATATATTTCTTTTTAAAATAGATATATATTGGTATATTTGATGAAAAACATTGCTGCAAAATATTAGTTTTATAACAGAAAATACTAGTTCAGCAAAATGCTTCATTTTACATTGCCTTTGGCATGGGCAGAAAAAAAATCTTTATATGTCACAGACATTGTCAAGATCCATGGAAGAGTAGTTTTTACATTAAACTTACATACATTTTCTATTAACTCTTAACATCTCTCAAACATAACTTCTCTTTCCCGTTGTGATTCCCAGAAGTGCATTGATTCTGCCTAAATACTCTTAGTATGAATCTAGGTGAACAGAGCAGGATTCAGGTGTCTGAAAATAGGCTCTGCAGGTATTGGGAGGAGTCCCACTGAGGAACAGCAGTCTAGACATAAATGTATGTCTCAAAACCCTCACAAACTGCCAAATGACACCAGTTGTTTGCCTATTCATAGCTGAATGGTCTCTTCACAGAACAATTCAAGTGCTTACAATTAGGTGTCTAATAGCATTTTAGACATCCTAGGGTATTCTGCCATCCCAAGATGGCCCTTTGCAGATCTCTCACAGATCTGCTGTCATGTATGACGGCTCTAAGCAGGTGTTCCAGGTATTCTGTGGTCTAGAACAGCTCTACATAGATGTGTTTATGCATTTGAATTGTTTTGCTACATTTAGACATCCAAATTTAGTTGCCTGCAGTGTGGTACTGAAAGACATCATGGGGTACTCAATTCTGTGCTGCAGCAGTTTCAGCTCATCTGGACTATTTAAGAACTGCCTGTCAGGATAAGTTATAATTGAACAAATAAAAGCTGAATTGCTTGTTACAGTATGTTTACCACATACATGTATACATATGTACAGTTATAACTTATTGCATTCTCTGCAGTCTCTTATTGCTAAAACTGATTTCAGTCTGAAACTCAATCTCATAGCAACCAGTACCCAGATGTGAGTAAGTCTGCCAAGCAATCAGGCATGAAAATGCCCTTATCTGGGCAGTCTGTTCAGGGATGCTACAATACCATGGAGGATGAGGTGCCATCAGCTTTCAAGCCCCTCCCAACACTTCTTGGGTTCTGCTTAGGAGTGTACTTGGTTGATGTGGCTCACTGGAATCAGTCAGGGAATGGACAGTGGTTAATTTCTTTATCTTGTCCCACCTCTGTGAGCTACCAGGATTTAATCACTGTCTCTGTTTTAGATCTCGTTGTCTTGAGAATTTGCAAGTAGATTTGTAGGTGTCAGTAACACATGTCATTTTTATTGCCCTTGTCCATTCACATCAATATGGAGATTTTTATTACAATTTTGCAAAGTCCTAGAAGATTCCTGGGCTTCTATTTTCTTATATTTCGTAGACAGTTCAGTATGTACTGGTAAAAACTGACATCTACTATTTTATGATATTCATAAGTTTTCTTCTCAAAAGTCTCCCAAGCTTCTGGTGTATTTCAGCAATATATTGTCATAAACTTTCCACTTTCCTAGCCTGGAATTGCAAATGAAGATTACAGTTCACTTCTTTCTCTGCAATCATTTTTGTCTTTAAGTTCTAACCTAATGCACTCTTCATATGCTCTCTCTCAGTTTTATTGGATTCTGATGAGCTTTATGATGTGCCTTCCCAGTTTCTCATTCTCTGTTATTCACCTCACATTATCCATTTTTATCCAAGACAAACTGGAAAGGAACTTTGAAAAGAAGCAGAAGAGTCACATGCCATTACTAGGACAGACACAGTCTTGCTGTGCACTGTTATCATACTTTCTCTGACTGTCCTGATGAATATTTATTAAGTGCTTCCTCTCAGGTTAGTCTGAACTTTAGTGGTTATAACAGAGATGGTGAATTGTGAAAGAAATAGGTAGAAATTTTGAGTAAGTTCATCTTAGTAAGAGGAAACTTATTTTTGGTATGATTCCATTATGGAGCATCTTTCTGACAATGCTAAACATTCATATGCAATTAAAAAACCCAGGAAGTTTGTATCATCAATCTCACATTCCGTTATTAACAGCAGGAGGAAAAAAATAGTAGAAAAAAAATAATGTGTTGAAACACTTTATATTCAGAACATTAAGTTTATTTTGAAAGTTTTTTTCAGAACCACCGGAATGATGATGAAAGTCTGTTGGTAAAAGTGTGAGAATGGAGACTTGAAAGACAGGTTAAATCACTGAAATCCAGCCTCTTCAGGGCTCTGTATTGGCTCAGGCTGTTGCCTTCTGTAGCCACCCTGACAAGACATCCTGTGGTTCACACAAAAGTAAAGTTCAGTTGAAATGTGCTCCTAATGACTCTGTGTGACCCTTGGGCATCTCTTGTGGCCCTGCAGCTGAGAAGAACACCAGCAAGGAGGGGGCCAAAAGGAGGTGGAGAGGGACTGTGAGGTGATGGCAGCCTCAGGTGAGAGTTTGCCCCTGCAGACGCTGATGTCTCCCCATGAGCCTGGGATGTGGAGTGTGTCCATCCCCAGGCATATGAGGAAGCATCAAGAGCTACAACCACTTCCCCGGGGAGCCACGAGTCAGGACTTAGTCTTGGAGGCAGCACAGGGCACACAGTGGACTTCTCCCTCCTCAATCAGTTGCTGAAGACTTTCAAAACTTTCTATGGAACAACACAGATTTGAGGAAAAGGAGAGCTGCACGGCACACACCTACTGTCTGCCATGTCCTCAGAGGTAGCTGTGCGATCCCCATTCCCCTTTTCCACGTGAGGCTTTCCTCAAAACAGTTTCTACTTCATGGGCTCAACAGACAGGTGTTCTGTTTTTGCCTGGTCAATCCCTTTGGGGATTTCCTCATTGTCCTCAGGTACATGTCCTACTGGATTTGCATTTTGTCCTGGTTTCTCATACATGCATGAGGCTGTCTCAGAAGTGTTCTATGGATGTCCTGCTGGGGCAGATGTGATCTCTTTGTTTCCGCTTTGCAGCAGGCAGCTAATCTGGGGCTGCTCAGAGATAACATGGGTATGACAGGTTCAAAAGGGCCACTCATTGGGGGCAGCCCCAGGTGTGCCGTGGGCAGCACCAAAAGAGTGTCTTGCAGAGGTTTCCCCTGGAATAGGGGAACAACCCTCACTGAGTGTCCAGTGGACACGATAACAGGACAGGACAGGACAGTGCATGTGTGGGCTGCATGTGTGGCTTCCAAGAAAGCTCATCAGGCAGGAGAGGAAGGGACAGTGAGTTGTGATATGAAAGAGCAGGGGTGTGACAAGCAAACCACACCAGCCTTTGGGGTCTGACAGCCAGAAAATTCACTGGAGAGTTTCTTAATAGCTGTGGATGCTCGCACCGTGCTGGGTGCAGGAGGTGTATCTGGGATGGTATAGCATGGTAGGAATTTTGGCTCCATGGCATTGCAGGAGGTGCAATGAGAGTCTGTGAATACAGCCACAATTAGTAACATCCACACGGTTATTTGTGAAATATATTTTGAAATAATTTATGAAGCACAGGGACAAAACCCTTCCTCTTGGCCTCTACCTGCTGGTCAAGATGCTGATAAACTATTCTTTGTCTGATGTAAGCATCTACAACAGATGAGTACTGTTACATTTCATTATTTTAAGTGGCAAAACCTGCATAGGCTTTTCAACCAGAACTATTTTAGGTCTCCACAGTTTTCAGTTTGTTACAGACTAAAATTTTTTGTGGTTTTAAATCCAAAAACGTTGTTGGACTGATAAAATGTCTGCTCTCTGCAAACGAGCTTCCTACTGGTAGATTGCAATTCACGGCAAGGTCTGTCTCTGTCAATTCATACAACAATCTCAGGTAGGCAGAGTGGAACAAAATGAGTATTTTCTGCAAGTGAATTAATTTCCCTTGTGGTTACTGGGCAGTTTTGTGTGGACAATGGAAGTTTTGTATATATCTTTTTTTTCTTTAAAACCGTGTCTGCAACTAACACACACATCCCACAGAAGGAAAATTTAGAATGTTTGATCAGTTCAAGTCAGTAAACAAGTATTTTGTGCTGATGAGATTTAGCGTGGAATTATGGGAGCACAGAGATTTCATAAACCAGCTCAGTTGGCTGTCAGACATCTGTTTATGTAATAAGAGATCAAGGGAATGAAATGATGGTTGCTGAGACTTTGTAAACAAAAAATTTAGAGTGGATATATACCACCTATGTAACTTGCTATTACTTTCTCAATCCTCGGTTGAAAACTTATTTTGCACTTCTGAAGTGCAATGATTTCTTTTAAAAGACTTTAGCAGGAAAAAAATTCACAGAACGGGACTGAAGCAAACTTTAAGTTAGGCTGAGTTACGTTTGTTTACCTACCTATACACAGAAAAACTGTGATGAAATTAGTCATATACCTAACATCCACAACAAGAGAAGCAGTGGAAAGCATATTAAACTGTGAGGCTTAATCTACATGAGATTCAATGTTTGCTCAGATTGAGCTTTTTCTGCTCCTAGGACACCAGTTTAACTATTCCATAGCAGGTTTTCTGACACCCTATAGACAATTTTGCATGCATAAACTATTTAGAGACTGCCTGCTCTCTTTCTAGGACATCATAGAAGTATTTTATTTTACTTGGTTGCGTATTTGAAATTGGCGGGATTTGTGGGGGATAGAAAACCCAGCAGGTTACCTACACCCATTAAAACCAATACTTGGCTCTACCTGTCTGTACATGGACCTCTGCAACTAAGGAGAACAGAAACAGCAAAGCTTGGATGGGCTGTTACTGACCTCATGTCTAGATTCTACTGTCATGTTGTCCTCCTAACTGTGACTTTAACTTGAGCCCTAAAGATTCTTTACCCTAATTTTGTTATAAATCATGCAGTTCACATAAGCTTACTTGACACATTTGCTAACTAAGGACTCTGAAAGCTGTTTTTTGAATCAGCCTGATATTTCACATAGAGCAGCTTATTTCAGGCCTGTCGACCTACACAGAAGCAAAATGTAAGTGAAATAAAAGACTGTGTAGAAGAAATCATAATCAGGTTAATTTCTGTTGAATGGAAATAGCAATACAGAAGAAGAACAAGAAAAGCAGAAGCAGTGTTTGGACAGACAGCAAAGGAATAGTAAAACTAGAGATTTCTCTTTATGAAGGCAACAAAAAAATTTGTTATTGAGGTACAAGTGTACAGGTTACAATGAAAGTTCAGTAGATGAGCAAAGTAGAAGCCAAATGGCAATTTAGCAATTATGCGGTTAATGAGAGATATGGAAAATAAGCATTTAGGCAAATAATGCTGAATTAATCAGTCAGGCAATTAAGCAATACTATGAAATGTCTTATGGCTCCTACCTGTTCCATTAAATTTAGGGAGAAAGAGCCTAAGGTTGTCTTTACATATTAAAGTGCCGAGCCTCCTGTTCAGTGCTCATCAGGAATTAAATACTGATGAGGGGAAGGCAGACTAAGATCTTTTAAAAGTAAGACTCATTTACAGTAAATGAAACAAACAGAATTAGATCATAACAGCTGGTTCAGTTTAGATGAGTTCCCTCCATTTGTAAACAACACATTACTGGGGTAAGGGTGGCAAAACATGTGGTAGGTTATGAGAAATGGTAAAACTCATGTTATGGTTTTATTTTACAAACATTGTGTGCACTACCAGAAAGTATGAGATAAACAGTAAAAACTGTCTGTCTGAAAGGCTGAAGTTTCTCAGATTGATGGGTTTGCCGATAAATCCTGATGAATAATAGCAGTGAATATGATGATAAGTGTGAGAGTAGTTTACACTTAACAGAAAAGGACTTACAAAACTTTTCAAAAGACTTTCAGATGTAAATTTATTTATTTTCTTTCTTAGATCATGTTTAATGGCCTGGTATGTATCTGAAATATTGGAATTTTTCTTATTTAGAAATTATTAGGCCACTTAGCTCTAAATATGACTTCCATCTCATCCATAGTGTTGTTATTTTAAAATTACTTGGGAATGAGCTCTGGAAAATGCCATACTGTCAATTAGCCACCTTATTTTGTTTTTTTTTTTAAATATCATCTGAAAATGTTTTGAATACCTAAAACATACATGGCACAAATAGTAGCAGAGATGTAAACTGGTAAGAGTGAAAAATCAGAGTCTCTTAAGCAACTCATTTCATGTAACATGAAGTCAGATGACATTACTACTGTTGGTAAGAGGTTGACATAATTCACCACCAATCACACAATATGCCTGTCTCATCTGGAATTGCCTTTATTAAATCACAAATCACAGCAGTCACTACAAATAACAAACCTAACACATATTTATTTCAAAATAAGCTTTCTGTGAAAAAAAATCCATCTTATTGGTGTGTGTTGTTGCTATAATAGATGCTCCAAGTCACATGGCTTGGATAAAAATGGAACTGGTAACTAAAACTAAGTACATACAAATAAGCTAAACTCCTTGCATTATTATCTTTTTGGTTCTGCAGTTTACAGCTGGTAGGAAAGAACATAGGGAAAACATATGGAATTCAAACATATGGGTTGATTAAAAATTGGAACAAAGCAGCAGAATGACAGTAATTAGCGCAAGCAGGGAAGACAACTGGCCCAGGTATATCCTAGCAAGAAAAAAAAAATAAACAAGAAAAAAACCCCAAAGAAACATTGAGTAGCTGGCAAATGATAATTATAGTCCTCAGATTTATCCTGGTTGTTTCTGTTTCAAGGACAGGACTACTAATCCAGAGCTTAACAGTATTTAGTGTTTCATTTTGCACGTGTGGATATATGCCTGGCATATTTTGCATATAGTTGTGGCAGAACATTAGTCTCAAAGGTCTGACAGGCACAGAGGATTTGCTTTGATTCCAACAGTCAGTGCCCAACCACTTGTTTGGCTTCATAAAATCAAACCATTAGCACAGTCTAATAAAGGCAAAATCTGTAGAGCACTTTTTTTCCAAATATCAAGGAAATTGTTCTGGTGAAATTTTAGGCTAGTATTTTGAAGCTCAGACGTACGGATAGGTGGAATTGAATTTTTTTTAAAAAATGGAAAAGCTGATTTCTAAAGTGTAAGGACTCAATCAGGGCATGCTGCATCAGAAAGAGAAGCCCAGACATTTTGTTAATGAAGATGCAATCGGAGCTGATTGAACAGGAAACTCAGAACAGCAGAAGTACAAGAATATGCTGTGAAAAAACCCTTCTTAAGTTCAGAGTATATTGTAATAATACATTGTGGCCGTAAAACATCTTCCTCCTGGTTTTCTCAAAGCATTCTGAACACCTTGGTGCTCCGTGGTCCTCCAACAGAGGTCCAAGCAGGTGCAGCTCTGGACAGGCTCAGTGGGTTAATTTGGAAAAGCAGTGCAACTGCAGCAGCGTGGCCAGACAGTTCGGCTGATTAGTTTGGTGTCCCAGCAGAGATAATTAGCTCCACACTGATGCAACTTTGCTGTACTTATTGTCATTAGTACTTTGTTTGGCATTACCTCAGATTTCTCCTCAGTTGTGCACTTTATGGCACAGAACTTACTCTTAATTTCCATAGTCTCTGGACATAACATGTGTCATAGTAATCGGGAAGCCAAAGAACAGAAGTGGGAAGGATCTCACTGAGAGGCACGAAAGCCAAATCCCTAAACACATAAGAGCTTTAGTGACTTCTGAGATTTGTAGATAATCCACATTTCAAGTCTGTCCTGACAGTGGACTTAGTACTACAGATATATTTCTATAGATATGTTTAATTTTATGGAATATAAGTTTAAAAGACCAGAACAATAATTGATGAGAGAAACAGAAAATGGAAGGCTACTTTTTTTTTGTTCAGGGAACCAGGAGTAGTTGTTTGTGATACACACAGAGTGTTTCTGCCATATGCTAATATCTTCCTTGGGAATGGGTGTTTCTGAGAAGGTAAACCAACAGATAATACAAGTTTTAGTTCAGTTTCTCAAATCTTTAACAATTTAAAGCTTCCTAAGGGATTTTCTAATGTTTGAAAAAAGTATTTCCTCTGTTTCAAACATATCTTCATTCATTGATCTGCAGTGTCAAAATCACCACAGACATCAATATTCATTCAATATAATGTCTAAATAGAAAAGGACCTAAAAACATTTTGTGTAAGATGTGTATTATTTTCCTGGGTTTTTTTTGTAAAGTGCCAACCTTTATTTGTAAATGCATAACGCTATTTATAATATTAATGAGTCATTAACAACAGTGCTAGTTGTTAATGACTAATCTTTTCTAGATAATGGTCAACATTATCAGATATAAAGAGTATTCTGGGCTGCACTAGGAGAAATCTTGTCAGAAGATTGAGGGAGTTGATCCTTCCTCTCTGTTGAGAACTGGTGAGAGGCATCTGGAGTGCTAGGTCCAGTGTTGGGTTCTCCAGTACAAAGCAGACATGGAGCTGCTGGAGAGAGGCTTTCCTACCTATTGGGAAATTACAGTTTTAGGCTCATTTCATCTTGCACATTATTTACCTGTACGTTTTTCAGAAAAAAGCTGCAGTATGAATTTCCCCATTAGAAGATACTTAATAGTGTTTGGGGTGGTTTTCTCATGGTTTTTAGTTGGTTTTGTTTGTTGGTTTTTTTAAATACCAAAGCTCAGAGAGCCACTGTTTCTTTACACATTTTTTTTTTACTGTGTGCTCACAATAATTGCATGCATATAACCAAATCTCCATAATGCAAACCACAGATAAAGACAACAGTTAATAAGAAAATACCAGTTATTAATCTTCTACCATACATAAAATATGCATTATGTATTTTCCTTGTCAAAAGTGTTGCCAGAGATCAATGTTTTAATTTTCTGAAAATGTGACTCAAAATAATTGTGTAGGATTTACAGGAAAGATTTATTATTGCTCTAATTGTAAAAATGAAGCAGGGTTTTTTTGCCTAGGCCAGTGCAAAATATTATCTCTTTGTAAAAGCCTCTCCTATCCTTTAATTGCCATATCGACTACAATTTAAAATCCGCAGAAAGTATAAATAGGCCAAATGAGATATGCAAGGTTTCATTTGTGTACTTATTTTTAATTGTTATGCAGTTCTGTTTTGCTACTGAATGATTAATGATAATACTTTGAATGTCTCGGATAAATAATGCAGTAAGAGTAGAAAATGTTTAACTAATATTTACTCATTATCCTTTACTGCACATTCAGGTGGGTAGGAAATAGTTATCTGGGGCTTTTTTAAAATTTAAATTGCAATGGATACTGCCTAAATATGAAGTGCTGGTTTAGGTCACGTTTGGAAATCTCCCACTTAAATGGTATAGCGTGGAGGTCAATAATGCTAACACGATCCCAGTTTGGGGGCAAGAAACTGGAATGCTTTATTGGACTCACAAGTTCATATTTAAAGGGTTTAGGATCTACATATTCAACAGGGGGTTGTAACTATTACAATTATTACAAACAGGGGGTTTCAGGGGATGACATAAGGCAAAAACCCAGGTTAACAAATTTGGGGTCTTACACATACATCATAGGGGAAAACCCATTTTATCTGGAGTGAATTTACAGGGAAAAAGAGGTATTCCGGTTTACAGAATGTAAGGATTCAGGGAACACAAGGGGAGAGATAAGGTACAATAGGTCTCTGCACAGGTTTGATGAGATCAGGGCATGGTTTCTCTGGGCTTGGGCAGGACATTCCAAACCCGTGACATCAATGCATCCTTGTCTGGACTCTAGATGGAGGTTTTTCTCCAGTCTCTATTAGCCCAAGGCTTTCGTTTAAACACAGAGGTTTTCTTTTTCTTGTATCCAAATTTTGGAATCCAACAGCATAGTGACATTTAATTTTGAAAAATTCAGGAGTACCATAAACACATGAACCATGATTTCCAGTTTTATTCCTTTGCTAAACATGCTCCCGAGATGCTGATGTTTGACATTAAGATAGCAGTGGGTGTGTGTGGCTGCAGGAAGAGTAGTTTCTTGTTTTTCCATTGCAAAAGGGTTGGTTTTATGCAGTGATAGCTTGGCTGACAGAAATTAACTCAGTGACTGCAGGACATCTTACTGCTTCTTCCTACATCCCCTTCAAGTCTCATGTCCTACACTGTCAGTGGATATTGTATTACTGCTACTGTAAGTCACCATAACGCTTTAAAAAATTAGGTTTTTTCTCATTCAAATAGTTCATAATATAAACTAAACACTGGCTCTAGGATAGTAATTCTGATTAAGAAGGATAGGGGGAGTTTCTCAGGATGGCAGAGGAGAAATTATGCAGAATCGAGCTTTGATGAGAAATATGAAATTTGGAAAGGGAATATGTTTTTTTGATATTTCAGAAACTATCAAACATAAGGGGTTAGCAAGAGTCTGAGAAGGCTAAAATGAGAGAAAATTATGGGAGGGTCAAAAGAAATAAGTAGATGCCACATTAGACCTGCATGGGCACCTTGAACTCTTGAAGAAGCTTTTTAATTCCTTGGCTTTCCAGAAATTATATCAGATAATCTGAAAATATAGTGATGATAGTTACCTGTGCTCATATTCTTTAGGAGTCAATAGCACTGAAATATCATGAGGCTTTCTAAAACTCTTTTTTTTTTTCAAGAATATTTAGAATAAATGGCATTCAGCTACCAGAAATCTATATAAAACAAATTTTTTTGAGGATATGATGCTAAATTTTGAAATTAATTTCTTCAATGTGTGAAGAATTAACAAGTATCTCTTCAGTGGAATAAAGATACTTAAAGAACATTTTATCCACCAGTTTATAGGGGCCAGAGGTTGCTAGATGCTTTACACAGAAAAATCATGCTCGTGGTCTCTTCCCTAAGGAATTTAAAATCTCATTTTGGAAGCAACATGATGAAGAATATTAAATACTAGTAGAGATGATTAGATAAAACTATAAAAAAGTTTGAAGTTGAAAAGGAAAACAGACATGGAATTGCTAATACAGCATGCATAGAAAAAATTTTGTTTGAGAAATTGATAAATGGGGCCACACAATAAACCCATGCTCTTTATGAGCATCTAGTTACATTTCTGTTTTTCTAGCTTTTTACCATCTCACCCAAATATCCTATTTTCTCTGACTTCTCAAGCTTTGAGGGCAATATGGTATTAAATATATAGGTTTGTTCAACATCTTACCCTAATTATATAAAACCAGAGTGTACCATATGATTAACTCTGATGGTTACAACTGTTCTTATAAAAAAGCCATTAGCACCTCACAGTGATCAGAACACGAAATATGTAATTATTTCAAATGCAAGGAAAGGGCCAATTAGTGTTTTTGAATGTCTTATGAAACATTCTGGTTGAATTCTTACAGATATATAAATATATATACAAGTGTATGTGCATTTATATGTGTACATATACATATATTTTATGAACTAAGTAGGGAGATTGCACACTTTAAAGATGAAAAACTGTAGAATTAAGGTAATTTAGATAACTGTAATTCAAACCCCTCCATTGCACAATTTAAAGGAAGAGAGAGAAAGCAATGTAACCTTAGCTGGCTTCCATTATGAGATTGTTTTAAGCCCTTGCCATTTTCTCCCCATGTATATTTATGTCAAAAAAATGAGCTTACAGCTTGGTGTAATACCTTGATTGTTCTACCAAGGGCTAGAAGAGTTGTAAATGAGCAGCAGCAATAGATTGAACAACTAATGAAAACTGGTGTAAAGGCATAAAAAGGAATGCAAGGGTAAGTAGAACTCTTGGCCAAAGATCAGACATAATTGCTACTTTTCTTCACTAATTGGTACCTGCTGATCCGAGTGCTTATCTACTGTACTTTTGGAGAACATATCTTTAGTTCCATTTCAAATATGGTTCAAGAGGACTTTATAGAGCTATTAATTTTCCTCCCCTTTTTCCTCTCTTTGCAGAGCTCAGGTCTTAAAAGTACTCTTGATAGCAACTTTAGATCAAAAGGGACAATACCTGATTGTAAAGTATTCTAGCCAAGAATAACCTAGTTATTTAAGTCACCAAAAAAATCTACTCCCAGGTGTACTGTGTGTTTTTCAAAAGAAGCATAAACCATGGCTTCAAGCTCTTCTCAAATTATGCACACAAACATCCAGAGGATTACCCCAGTGGTTTGAGTTCTCCACTTAGGTACAAAGAAGGAATTTTCTCTGGCTCTTATCTTCTGTAAAAAAAAAAAATCACTGTAATTAGTTTTGCTCATAGACATCTGGCTCACACTAGGTAGCTAATCTTACTCTTCGTTTGTCCTCTCTTAATGTTAAGCACCTTGCATTGTTCACAGAGTTTAGAATTAATATCTTTCCAGTTCTCTGGAGGCATTTTTTGGTCATCTGTCTTTGCTGCATGTTGCCAACAACATCAGGTGTTTGTCTACAACAATTTGTACATAAAAGAGCTATCATGTTCATTCACACAGACATACACAAGGGTGGTGTAGGGGATGCCATGGAAGAAAGTTTTCTTTTTTTTTTTTCCCTGGGAACATTCTGCTCAACTTCTCAGAAAACTGTTCTAAATGTTATTTCATGAAGAGAGCTATTGTCAAAATTTTCATGCTAATGAAGAGTCCTGATTTTTACAATACTATATGCAGAAAAGTACTATTTAACTTGCCTTTACCCAAATAGCACTAGGAATGGAAAATAGAAGTTTATTTTTATTGCTATTTATATTATTAAATGATCTCACAGAAGGAATTTTCATTTCCCTTTAAAATATAGTTTCTTAATTAATTCCTGATTTTGAGTAGATCATGATAAGCACTGTTCAGAACAAATGCTTAGCAAGCGTAGAGCCTCAGCACTGTGCAAATCTGGATTCTAGACGCCCTAATAAGCTCTCATCTTTCAAATGTGTGTCTTTACTGCTGGCTGCATCATTCTGTAAGCTTTAAACATGTCACACCAAAATACTGGAAACAAAAGATGGAACTCTGTACAAAGTACTAACCCTACAAGGAGGACAAAGGCTAAAGCACCAAAGCCTGGGAGGAAAAAGTAATTCAAGATGAATATCTCAGATTTTTCTCTTATGAAGAACTTTGTGGTTTCAGATTAAATAGAGGGAAATCATACAACTGGTATGTTTATCTAAGGGAGATTGATGTGAAATTAGGACATATATATATGTACTGCTAAATTTTCAAAAGTTCTATTTGATTCCTGCTGTGGATATACAGACATTTATACAGATATGTTTGCATATGTATATGAGTTTATATGCAAATTTATAATAGAGAATTTGGAGTAAGACTATATACTTTGCAACTCTGCTTTTCACTAGCACAGCAACATTAATCTGCAGAAGCAAATTGATTAAGCTGATCGAATGAGGTGGTTTGAAAGCTCCCACTAGGCCATTATGATGGAT